ATTCATTCAGATGTTTGGGGTCCTAGTCGAAGTATGTCTGTTTTAAGGTTTCGGTATTTTGTTACCTTTATTGATGATTTCTCCCGTTGTACTTGGATTTATTTAATGAAAAACCGTTCTGAGTTGTTTTCTATTTATCAAAGGTTTTCTGCTAAAATTCATACTCAATTTGGTGCTTCTATTCGTATTTTACGTAGTGATAATGCTAAGGAATATGTTTCTGTTGACTTTTCTCATTTCTTAGCCACACAGGGTACTTTACACCAAACCACTTGTCCTCACACTCCACAACAAAATGGAGTAGCTGAACGTAAGAATAGACATCTCATTGAGATTGCCAGGACTCTTCTTATTCACATGCATGTTCCTCTTCACTTCTGGGCTGATGCAGTCCTTGCTTCTTGCTTTCTCATCAACCGCATGCCTTCATCTGTGCTTAATAATGATATTCCTCATAACTTATTGTTTCCGGATGTTCCTCTCTTTCCTCTATCCCCACATGTTTTTGGTTGTACCTGTTTTGTTCATGATCTCACTCCTGGTAAGGATAAGTTAACATCCAAAGCCTTTAAATGCATTTTTCTGGGTTATTCTCGTCTTCAAAAGGGTTATCGCTGTTACTCTCCTGATCTCAAGCGTTACTTAGTTTCCGCTGATGTCACATTTCTTGATCAACAACCCTTTAATTCTATCCCATCTCCATCAGGTTGATCATGTTCTTCCTGTTCCTTTTCTTGACTTGTCTTTGCCAGATGCAGGTGCTTCTACTCCAGATAAGCAATCACCTATTGCTCCAGTACCTGAGAACCGTCCACTTCTCACTTATCAGCGTCGTAACACAGTACCTCCAGTCGACTCGACCCCTGCTGACTCATTGCCCCCTGCAGTTGATTCTTCCCATCCGGATCCTTCACCAGAGGCTCTTCCCATTGCTCAAAGAAAAGGTACACGTACTACTCGTAACCCTTATCCTCTTTATACCTTCTTGAGCTATGATCGTCTTTCTCCTCCTCATTTCACCTTTGTTTCTAGTCTTTCTTCTGTTTCTATTCCTAAGACCACAGGTGAAGCACTTTGCCATCCAGGATGGCGCCAAGCGATGCTTGATGAGATGACCGCACTTCATACCAATGGCACTTGGGACCTTGTTTCTGCTCCTCCAGAGAAGTCTATAGTTGGTTGTCGCTGGGTGTTTACTGTGAAAGTTGGACCTGATGGCCATGTTGATCGTCTCAAGGCACGCCTAGTTGCCAAGGGTTTTACTCAAATATTTGGTCTTGATTATAGCGATACGTTCTCTCCAGTCGCTAAGATGGCGTCCGTCCGCCTATTTCTTGCCCTTGCTGCTGTTCGTCACTGGCCACTCCTTCAACTTGACATAAAAAATGCCTTTCTTCATGGTGATTTACAAGAAGAAGTTTACATGGAGCAACCACCTGGTTTTGTTGCTCAGGGGGAGTCTGGGAAGGTATGTCGTCTTCGAAAATCCTTATATGGTCTCAAGCAGTCTCCTCGAGCATGGTTCAGTCGCTTTAGTTCTGCTGTACAGGCGTTTGGCCTAATTCGCAGTAAAGTTGACCATTCTGTATTCTATAGGATTACATCTCCTAACAAGTGCATCTATTTGTTAGTCTATGCATCAAGACGGAATCCGTCAGTTAAAACAACATTTATTCAGTGCATTTCAAACAAAGGACCTTAGGAGGCTGCGTTACTTCTTGGGAATTGAGGTGGCGCAATCTAGACAGGGCATTTCTATCTGTCAAAGGAAGTATGCCTTGGATATCCTAGAAGAGACTGGTATGTTGGGGTGTAAACCAGTTGATACACCCATGGATCCTAATGTTAAGTTATTGCCTAGACAAGGGGAGCCTTTATCTGATCCTGGACGTTATCGAAGGCTGATTGGGAAGCTCAATTATCTTACTGTGACTAGGCTAGATATTTCTTTCGCTGTCAGTACGGCTAGTCAGTTCCTTGATTCCCCTTGTGATTCACATTGGGATGCTGCTGTGAGGATCCTCCGATACATCAAAGGAGCACCAGGAAAAGGTTTGTTGTATTCAGATCAGGGAAATACAGAAATTTGTGGTTACTCAGATGCCGATTGGGCAGGATCACCCTCGGACAGACGCTCTACTTCTGGTTATTGTGTCTTCTTCGGAGGAAACTTAATCTCATGGAAAGGCAAGAAACAACCTGTTGTTTCCCGATCTAGTGCAGAAGCTGAGTATCGTGCAATGGCAAATACTACCTGTGAGTTGATCTGGTTAAAGCAGTTGATTCAGGAGCTTCATCTTTGTGAACAGAAATAACCCATGACACTCATTTGTGATAATCAAGCTGCGCTACATATATCCTCTAATCCTGTTTTTCATGAGAGGACCAAACATATAGAGATTGATTGTCACTTCATTCGGGAAAAGATTCAGTCAGGAGAAATCAAGACAGCTTTTGTCAACTCGTCTAATCAACTAGCAGATGTTTTCACTAAAGCTCTTAGAGGTCCTCGGGTTGAATACATTTGTAACAAATTTGGTGCTCATAATATATACGCACCAGCTTGAGGGGGAGTGTTAGAATATTAGATATGATATGATTAGATGTGATTGGATTCTGTCTTATCCGTAAATATTCTGACTGTATTCTGACTGTATTAGGATTAGGTTTGGGCCTTACACTGTATTAGGATTAGGTTTGGGCCTTACACTTAAGCCCATTAGGGTCTCTATATATTGTAACTCCCTGACACAGATCAATACACAACGTATTCTTTTACATTTAACTGTCATGTCAGCTCGAATACCATGTAAAGAACAATCTCAACCCAAAAGCTTAAGCTTGTAAGTGATGAACCTTCAATGGTTTTATATTATATCTCTCTAACACACCCTCTCACGCAAGAGCCCTCTGGGCTTGAAGCGTAGATATTGCATAGGCCCATTTTTTTGTTCTACCTTGTGCTAATTTAATTCCACTAGAAAGTGGGGGACAGTGAGGATTTAACTCGTGATCCCGTGGTCACTTTAACTCTCATACCATATAAAGAATCATTTACACTCAAAAGCTTAAGCTTGTAAGTGATGGTCCTTCAATGGTTTTATATTATATCTCTCTAACTGATGGGCCTTTAATAAAGTATCTATTAGTTAGGAATGAGTTATATACAGATGTTTAGGGTGAGGTTCTTTATGTTGATTGTTATTTGTGATTTGAGGAATTAGGAGAGGAAATAAGGAAGCTCTCAAGGCTAAGTTGTTCTCTTGGAGTGGAGTTTTTCCTTTTGTTATTACTGTAATTGTTAATCTGTATTTGGTTTCTTCTTTATATCAAATTAAGGTTCCATCAATTTGGTATCAAAGCACTACAATCCTGGGAGTGCTTTTTGGTCCAGATCTATTGAAATAAAAAAAATTGAAAGGAATTAGCAATTCTGAGCTCAGAGAAATGGTATTAAAAGTGGTGAAGGCTTTTGATGAAGCAATTGAGAGGATGGAAACACAGAGACTTGAATGGGTGTATACTCTGAAGTATAATTTTGATGGAACTCTTAAGAGGTACAAGGCTCGACTAGTAGCCAAGGGGTACACAGAGACCTATGGAGTTAATTACGAAGAAAAATTTTCTCCAGTGGCCAAGATGAATACTGTAAGAGTTCTATTATCCCTTGCTGCGCACTTTAATTGGGATTTGAAACAATTTGATGTCAAAAATGCCTTCCTCAATGGCGAATTAGAAGAAGAGGTTTATATGGAGATCCCACCAGAATTTGACTCTACAAATGGAAATAATAATGTTTGCAGATTAAAGAAGGCGTTATATGGTTTGAAGCAATCCCGACATGCTCGGTTTGGAAGATTTACCAAGGTTATGATTTTATTAAGATACAAACAAAATCAAGGAGATCACACACTTTTCTTTAAACATTCTCAAGAAGGTAAGCTCATTATCCTTCTAGTTTATGTTGATGACATTATTATAACAAGGGATGATATAAGTGAGAAATGTGCTCTGCACGAAAGATTGACTACTGAATTTAAAGTTAAAAATCTTGGAATACTGAGATATTTTCTTGGGATAGAGGTTCTTGATCTTCTTAAAGAAGCAGGAAAACTTCGGTGTAAAATCACAAACTAGGAAGTGAAAATGAGAGTCCCCCAGTTGACAAAGGACAGTATTAACGAATGGTGGGAAGATTGATATATCTGGCTTATACTAGACCTTATCTAGCTTATGCAGTTAGTATTGTTAGTCAATTCATGCATATTCCGAGGGAAAAACACCTGCAAGCAGTGGACAGGATTCTCCAATATCTAAAAGGCATACCAGGCAAAGGACTATTATTCCAGAAAGGAGAAAACCTATCCTTAGAAGTTTAGGGTGTGCATGACAACCTTCCCGGAATGAGTTTTTTTTTAATTTCTGTTTCCGGGAACAAAAATGAATGAGAATTGCGTTTGATAAAATCGGTTTATTTTTTTGTTCTCGGGATGAACCGGTTTTTTTTTATGCTGGGGAACAAAAAAAAGAATCAAAAAATTTCTGCTTTTCTAATTCTGGGCACAAAAAGAAAATCAGTTTTCTCTCACACTCTCACTCACTCGCTAGCTATGGCAGTGTACCAGAACAACCCACCTAACCTAAACTACCTCACCCCCTAAAGAAAAGAATAACCCAACAAATAATTGCTTAATTTGGTTTTGTGCAATGAACTGATACGGGGTGATAATATACAAAAGCAGAAAATTGGGTTATTCCTATGGTTTTGTGCAAATTTTCTGCAAACCAAATTTTAAGAAACTGTATGCGTGGTTTTGTGCACGAATTCCATGGTTTATTCCTATGGCTGGAACGGGGTGATACGGGGTTTATTCCTAGAGCACGAATTCCATGGTTTTGTGCAATGAACTGATACGGGGTGAACAATTCTTATGGCTGGAGTTTTCACAATTCTTTCATGTGCTGGCTATACTGTTTTCAACATTGGTTTATTCCATGGTTTATGGGTACCCATTCTGGACAGAAATTGGGTTACCTAGGAAATCCTTTTCGTTCACCATGAATTGACACATGTTGTTATTGGCAAACAATTCCAAACCTGCAATTTCTTGTAATATAGCAACCTAATACCCAATGAAATTCTAATTCTCAGAATGAAAAAAAAATTGTGTTAACAAACGTAATTCTGATTCTCAGAATAAAAATAAAATATGTTAACAAACGTAATTCTAATTCGCAGAACTCTTCCAAAGCACAGAAATAGAAAAAAATCATTTTTTTCAGAAACAGTGCCAAGAATTAGAATGGTTGTCATGCGCAGCCTTATACGAACGCCGATTATGCTGGATCCGTGACTGACTGATGGTCTATTTCGGGCTATTGTATGCTTCTCTGTGGATTTAATATTAATCTAACAATTATATGAGATGTAGTAAGAAGTGGTAAACTTACTTGGTATTAAATATAACGTCTACATTTACTAAATTAATCTTTTAGGGGGAAAAGTAGTTTATTAGCTATCTCATCGTCACAAGTTAAAGTCAGAAATTATCAATGATTTTCACATTATTTGTAATAGGCAAAAGGACCTTACTATGCTGTGTGTGCTTAAAAATATGGTAAAAGCATTTACTAAGTATTAGAAAATTAAATATAATTTTAATTCTAAAAAGTACTATTTGGTTTCATTATTGTACAGAGTATTACAATGTCCAATGTATTGGTGTTGGGTTAAAAATCTATGGCACCTACTTTTATTTTCCTGCAAATCAAACTGAAACTAACATTTAGGTTTGGCAATTTCACCCCGACCTGTTGTGTGGGGAGGGTGGGTTTGGGTTAGGGGTCAATCTGGTCTGCCCACCTCGCACTCTTTATCTAAATAACATCATGCTAAGTTTAGTATCATGCTAATATAAACAACACTAGAAATTTAAAAATAACAATAAACAATTAAAAAGAAATAAAAATAAAATAAAGTGAAAATAAGGATAAATAAGACAAAAAGAAAGTAAAATAAAAATAAATAAAAATGAAGAAATAAGAGGAAAAAATAAATAAATAATTAAGAGAAGAAAAATGAAAAGGAAAAAAGAGGGGGAAAAGAAGAAGGGAGAGGTAAAGAAAAAAATAAAGTGAGATATAGGGGAAAAGAACTAAAAACGGACTATCTGGAACATAGGAATAAAAACGGGTTTAACTCTCCATAATGCTAATAGCTTTCCTCTAATCCTTCCTTAAGATAAACCGTCCACCGATCTATATTGGTATCTAACTATAAGTGAACAAAATTTCCATAATTTCAGGATTTTTTTTTTTTTTTTGGTACATTGCCAGGAGGTATTCCCATTCAACCTTCTCCGGGCACCATGCCCTCGGGGTTCGGCCCGTTTGGGTTAGCCCCTCATTAATTTCAGGATATTAACAGTAGTGTAGCTGGGTCAAGGATCAAAAAAACTTAATAGATCCTGCATGCAACTCAATTCCAAGTTCCAACATTGTCAACTTTTGACAACAATCAAATATACTTATTAACTCTGAATCTAGTTTATAAAGATGCAAGCAACAGATGCATTATTGAAGCATACTAGGCTCATCAATAAAATAAAAATGCTGAACTACTTCAAGAACTAGTCAAGAATTTTTTTTTATCAAGGCTAGAAAGGTTTTCAAACTTTAAAACGAAGGGGATGAAATATAATCAGTGAACATTTGAATTATATTCACCTTGGACTTTTCACGCCTTGATGGCACAAATGAAGATCTTTCCATGACATGACAAATTCGAAGTTCATTAAGGCAATTTAAAACCACTTGAATCGATTTGATCAATTTATTAGACTCTGTAAATATATGCTCCTTCAACTGCAAGATTCAACAACAAATACATCATGTTTATATAAGGTAACAAAAGGTACTTGGACTTTATGCTGAAAGTCCATATTATTATTATTCAATAACCAGAGAGAAAATGAGAGAAAGTAAAGGAAAATATTGTGAGAGAAATAAGATGTTGTATTCCGTGAATATTCTGTAATTGAAAAACTGACTGAACCTTCTAAAGTTCTGGTGCATAAAGGTAGGTTGAGTGCTGTTCTAATAACATTTTACCCCAAAACTTAGGGTGGTTGTATCTATTAGAATAGTTGTAAGAATAGTTCAGTATATATAGTCCCACATCTTATGAGCTCAGCCCATTAGGTGTCTCTTTAAATTGAGAGCTCTTGTACATTGTAATACACTGTGATTATTCAATATACAATTATTCTTTAATCTCAAGTTGGTATCAGAGCTTCTTCGCTCTTGGGATCCGCTTCCGCTAAAACCCTAAGCCCACTGCTTAGGTGTTCTCTTCTAATTTGCCGTGCATTCTTCCGCCGAGTTTTTCATCAAGCCATGTGTCCCTCCGGCAGATTCTCTAAGCCGTGTGTCTCTCCGGCTTGTTTCTTCAACTGTCAGAACCACTTCTCGCCGCCAACAACCGCCGTTCGTCACTGTTCAGGTCACCGGAGCACTGTTCCAGCGTCGATTTCAACCGGAAAGCCTGCGATCAGAGCCTTTTCTCTCCAACGACCAAGTCTGTGGAAGACCCGTCATCAGAGGAGTCCCCACGTGCTCTCACGCGCCGCTCCTTCTCCCTGCGCGTGGTGCTCACGTACCACCCTTCACCGGCGCGTGTGCACTGTTCCGGCGTCTTTTTCCGGTCGTTCCTGGACAGACTAGCTCGGTTTTTCCTCCTCTTTCTGGATCTGTGCTTGATTCTTTGTGGGTCTCACTTTAGACGACTGGTTCTCCTTGATTGGATATCGTTTGCCTTCGATTACGGCTTTTATATTTGGTCTTTAAATGACAGCAGCATCTCCTGATCTCTCGGAGGTTAACTCTCCTTCTCCTCCTGCCAAAACTTCCTCAGGAATCATCTCTACTAATATTGGACCCATTACGTCTTCCAAACTGAAGGATTCAGACAACTACAAAGATTGGGACACCTCTCTTGTTGCAAATATAGCTCAATCAGACAATGCATCATTTGGTTCAGGTTCTCTCTCACCTGCGGACTATGCTGCACTCCAAACTCTTCTCAGGAAGGCTTCTCCTCAGTCTCAGCCATATACTGGTAATCTCGTTGCTTGTGTTTCTCATTCTACATCACTTGGCACTTGGATATTTGACTCAGGTGCTACCGATCTTCTCTATGATAATAAGGAACTCTTTACATCTCTTACTTATTCTAATCATTTACCTTCTTTTACCCTTGTGGATGGAACCAAAGCCCCAGTTCGCGGGATTGGACAGGCTTGTCCGACCTCTACCTTGGCCTTGACATCTGTTTATTACATTCCTGACATCCCTTATAACTTAATTTCTATTAGTGAATTGACCCACTCCCTCACTTGCACCATTACTTTCTCTAACCATTCTGTTTCTGTGCAGGATCCCGGTACGGGGAAAATGATTGGAGTGGGTCGTGAGTCACGGGGGCTTTACTATCTGGATGTGCCACGTCCTTCAGTGGCATGCTCTCTCACAGAATCTCCACAACTTATCCACAGTCGCCTCGGTCATCCAAGTCTTTCAAAGTTGCAGAAAATAGTTCCTCTTTTATCCGGTCTTCAGTCTTTAGATTGTGTGTCATGTCAACAAGGGAAGCATACCCGCTCCTCTTTTGCAAATCGAGTCAATAAACGAGCTGATGCCCCTTTCTCTCTTGTTCATTCAAATATCTGGGGTCCAAGTTGTACCTTGTCTGTTTTAGGTTTTCGGTATTTCGTTACCTTTATTGATGATTTTTCCCGTTGCACTTGGATCTATTTAATGAAAAATCGTTCTGAGTTATTTTCCATTTATAAAAAGTTTTCTACAGAGATTCATACTCAATTTGGTGTTTCTATTCGTATTCTACGTAGTGATAATGCTAAGGAATATGTTTCTATTGATTTTTCTAATTTCTTGGCCACACAAGGTACTTTACATCAAACTACTTGTCCTCACACTCCACAACAAAATGGGGTGGCTGAACGTAAAAACAGACATCTCATTGAAACTGCCCGTACCCTTCTTATTCATATGCAGGTTCCCCTTCACTTCTGGGCAGATGCTGTACTCATTTCTTGTTTTCTCATCAATTGCATGTCTTCATCTGTGCTCAACAATGACATTCCTCATAATCTATTGCTTCCAGATGCTCCTCTTTATCCTCTAACTCCACATGTCTTTGGTTGTACTTGTTTTGTTCATGATCTCACTCCTGGTAAGGATAAGTTAACATCCAAAGCCTTTCAGTGTATCTTTCTTGGTTATTCTCGTCTTCAAAAGAGTTACCATTGTAATTCTCCCGATCTTAAGCGTTTCTTAGTTTCCGCTGATGTCACTTTTCTTGATCAACAACCCTTTATTCTATCTCATCTCAGTTGTCACAGGTTGATCATGTTCTTCCTATCCCTTTTCTTGACTTGTCTTTGCCAGCTGCAGGTGCTTCTATTCCAGATGAGCAACCTATTGCTTCTATACCTGAGGACCGTCCACTTCTCACCTATCAGCGTCGCAAAACTGTGCCTCCTGTCGACTCGACTCTTGCTGACTCATCGCCCACTACTGTTGCTTCTTCCCCTCCGGATCCTTCACCAGAGGCTATTCCCATTGCTCAAAGAAAAGGTACACGTACTACTCGTAATCCTTATCCTCTTTATATTGTTTTGAGCTATCACCGTCTTTCTTCACCTCATTTCACCTTTGTTTCTAGTCTTTCTTCTATTTCTATTCCTAAGACCACAGGTGAAGCACTTTCCCATCCAGGGTGGCGCCACGCGATGCTTGATGAGATGACTGCACTTCATTCTAATGGCACTTGGGACCTTGTTTCTGCTCCTCCAGAGAAGTCTATAGTTGGTTGTCGCTGGGTGTTTACTGTGAACGTTGGACCTGATGGCCATGTTGATCGACTCAAGGCCCGCCTAGTTGCAAAGGGTTTTACTCAAATATTCGGCCTTGATTATAGCGATACATTCTCTCTGGTTGCTAAGATGGCGTCAGTTCGCCAATTTCTTGCTCTTGCTGCTGTTCGTCACTGGCCACTCCTTCAACTTGACATCAAAAATGCCTTTCTTCATGGTGACCACCTGGTTTTGTTGCTCAGGGGGAATCTGGGAAGGTGTGTCGTCTTCGCAAATCCTTATATGGTCTCAAGCAGTCTCCTCGGGCATGGTTCAGTCGCTTCAGTTCTGCTGTTAAAGAGTTTGGCTTAATTCGCAGTAAAGTTGACCACTCTGTGTTTTATAGGATCACATCTCCTGATAAGTGCATCTATTTGTTAGTCTATGTTGATGACATCATCCTCACCGGGAGTGATCAAGCTGGAATTTGTCAGTTAAAACAGTATTTATTCAGTCAATTTCAGACAAAGGACCTCGGGAAGCTGCGTTACTTCTTGGGAATGGAGGTAGCACAATCTAGACAGGGCATTTCTATCTGTCAAAGGAAGTATGCCTTGGATATCCTAGAAGAGACTGGTATGTTGGCGTGTAAGCCAGTTGACACACCCATGGATCCTACTATCAAATTACTACCCGGACAAGGAGAACCATTATCTGATCCTGGATGTTATCGGAGGTTGATTGGGAAGCTCAATTATCTCACTGTGACTAGGCCGAACATTTCTTTTGCTGTTAGTGTCGCTAGTCAGTTTCTTGATTCTCCGTGTGATTTTCATTAGGATGCTGCTGTTAGGATCCTTCGTTACATCAAAGGAGCACCAGTGAAAAGTTTATTATATTCAGATCAGGGAAATATAGAAATTTGTGGTTATTCAGATGCCGATTGGACAGGATCACCCTCGGATAGGCGCTCTACTTCAGGCTATTGTGTTTTCTTTGGAGGAAACCTGATTTCTTGGTGTTAGAAATAATATTAATTTATTATTAGAATAGTCTAGAATAGTCTAGATTGTGGGCTTGGCCCATTAGGTCATCCCATTAGGTCTTTTAGTCTCTATAAATAGAGAGCCTCCTTGTACAGACTCACACACTTGAATACACAATATATTTTAGATTCATTTTGGTATCAGAGCTCTCGATCTGAGGGCTCTGCTTCCGCATATATATCTTTTCCTTTCTTTTTACTGCCGTGCATCATACCGGCAACCATCCTTTCACACCTAACCCTTATTTAGTCACAAATTTCTTGTCCTCAACCTCGTATCATCAGGAAAAAGATCGTCAGCCTCCGTTCATCGCCGGAAACCGCCACAAAACCACCGTCCGCCACTGTTCACCGCCGTCAGACTGCTTTTCCGGCGACTTTTTCGACCAACCACCACGCGATCAGGAGCGGCTCAGGGAGGCGACCCTATCTGTCCAAGCCGTGTGTTGATCGGAGCATCCACGCGCCGGTGGAAGTCTCCGGCGGCCGAACCACTGTTCCGGCGCGTGAGCCACCGTCCGGCCACCGTTCCAGGCCGGACCACCACCATCTTGCTCGCCTCCTCACCCTCTTTCCAGATCTGGTCTCCGTTCGTTGTGGGTCCCATCCGTTTGAAAGATATCAGTGAAAAACCCGTTGTTTGGACACTTTTGTGCAACGTTTTTGCGCGATTTCTTGCTTTCTTGTAGTTCTTTACTATTTTCTGGTCATCTCCTTTTATTTTGTGATGGAGGGCTCAAATAATGCGTCCAAAAACACGACTGGCATCATCTCCGGTACTACCCCATCTCTATTCTTTTCTCGGGCCAGTGATTCCAATTGGAACAGTGGACGCGGTCGCAGACGTGGCCGCAGACAGAGACCTCGTTGCAATTATTGCCAGAATCTTGGGCATTTTGAAGAACGCTGCTATAGGAAGTACCCACATTTGAAGCCACCGTCTGCCAAATTTGCTCAAACAGATGTTACGCCACCTTCAACTGGATTAGTAACTCTTTCAAGTGCCGACTATGAGTCACTTCTCAAGAAGGTTTCTTCTCAGCATCCTACTCAAGACACTGGTAATCATGTTGCTTGTTTTTATCAATCATCTCTTGGACCCTGGATAATAGACTCAGGTGCTACTCATCATCTTTGTGGTAATAAAGATCTCTTCACTTCACTTTCTTATTCTAATAACCTACCCCCTGTTACTCTTGCTCATGGCACTAAGGCTCCTGCTCGTGGAATTGGGGAAGCCAACCCAACTCCCTTTTTAACTTTGAGTTCTGTTTATTATATACCTGGCATTTCTTTTAATTTAATCTCTGTTAGCTAGTTGATTCATTCTCTTTCATGTACTATTACCTTCTCTAAACAATCCTTTTCTATGCAGGATTCGGGTACGGGGAAGACAATTGGAGCAGGCGTTGAGTCACGAGGTCTCTACTATCTGATTGCACCACCTTCTCCAGTAGCCTGTTCTCTCACAGAGTCTCCTGAGCTAATTCACAGCCGTCTGGGTCATCCAAACCTCTCCAAGCTTCAGCATATGGTTCCCTTTTTATCCAATCTTAAGTCTTTAAACTGTCATTCTTGTCAGCAAGGAAAACACACTCGCTCCTCCTTTGCTAATAGAGTCAATAAAAGAGCTGATGCTCCTTTTTCTATTGTTCATTCTGATATTTGGGGTTCGAGTCGAACAACGTCTGTTTTGGGTTTTCAGTATTTTGTCACCTTTATTGATGATTTCTCCCGTTGCACTTGGGTTTATTTAATGAAAAATCGTTCTGAGTTATTTTCAATTTATCAAAAGTTTTGTGCAGAAATAAAAACTCAATTTGGTGCTTCTATTCAAATCTTGCGCAGTGATAATGCAAGAGAGTATGTGTCTCTTGAATTTTCTAAATTTCTGGATACACATGGGACGATACACCTGACTACCTGTCCCCACACTCCACAACAAAATGGAGTCGCTGATCGTAAAAATAGACATCTAGTTGAAACTGCACGTACTCTTCTCATTCATATGAACGTCCCACTCCGTTTTTGGGCAGATGCTATTATCACCTCATGTTTCCTTATCAACCGCATGCCCTCTTCTGTGCTAAATAATGATGTTCCCCACAGTATTTTGTTTTCCGGAGCACCTTCTTATCCTCTGCCTTTACATATTTTTGGTTGTACTTGTTTTGTTCATGATCTTACTCCAGGTAAAGACAAGTTGACATCCAAGGCCTTCAAATGTATTTTCCTTGGGTATACCCGTTTTCAAAAAGGGTATCGTTGCTATTCTCCTGATCTCAAGCGTTATATCGTTTCTGCTGATGTCACTTTCCTTGATCAGCAGCCTTTTCACTCTACTCCGTCTCCAGTGTCACAGGTTGATCAGGTCCTTCCTGTTCCTTTTCTTGACTTGTCTTTACCAGCTGCAGGTGACCCTATTCCAGAGGAGCAACCAATTACCTCCATACCTGCAGATCGTCCTCTCCTCACATACCAGCGTCGTCAGCCTGCACCTCCTCCGCCTTTGCCTCTTGATGACTCATCGCCCTTTCCCGTCGGCTCTTCTCCTCCGGATCCTCCATCAGAGACTCCTCCCATTGCCCTTCGAAAAGGTATTCGATCCACTCGAAATCCTCATCCCCTTTATTCTTTCTTGAGTTATGACAGACTTTCTTCACAACATTTTACTTTTGTTTCTAGTCTCTCTTCTGTCCAGGGTGGCGCCAGGCAATGCTTGATGAAATGCAGGCACTTCACTCCAATGGCACTTGGGATCTTGTTCGTGCTCCTCCCGGGAAGTCTGTTGTTGGTTGTCGATGGGTGTTCACAGTTAAAGTTGGTCCTGATGGCACTGTTGATCGCCTTAAAGCTCGCTTAGTGGCCAAGGGATACACACAGATCTTTGGTCTTGATTATGGGGATACCTTTTCTTCTGTTGCTAAGATGGCTTTTGTTCGCCTGTTTCTTGCCCTTGCCGCCATTCATCACTGGCCCCTTCTCCAACTTGATATTAAGAATGCTTTTCTACATGGTGACTTGCAGGAGGAATTTTATATGGAGCAACCACCAGGTTTTGTTGCTCAGGGGGAGAGTTCTGGAATGATATGTAAACTTCGGAAATCTTTATATGGCCTGAAGCAATCTCCTCGGGCCTGGTTTAGCCGCTTTAGTTCAGTTGTTGAATCCTTTGGCTTAATCAGAAGCAAAGCCGATCATTCTGTCTTTTACCGGCATAGCTCTTCTGGCCAGTGCGTTTATCTCCTGGTCTATGTTGATGACATTATCATTACAGGCAATGATCAGACCGGGATTGATCAGTTGAAAGAGCATTTATTCAATCAATTTCAGACCAAAGATCTTGGCAGACTTCGATATTTCTTGGGGATCGAAGTTGCACAGTCTAGGCGGGGCATTTCCATCTGTCAGAGGAAGTATGCTCTGGATATCCTAGATGAGACTGGCATGTTAGGCTGTAAACCCATTGATACACCTATGGACCCCAATGTTAAGTTATTACCAGGACAGGGGGAGCCACTGCCAGATCCTAGTCGCTACCGCCGACTAGTTGGAAAATTGAATTATCTTACTGTGACAAGGCCAGATATCTCCTTCGCAGTGAGTGTTGCAAGTCAATTTCTTGATTCTCCCTGTGACTCTCATTGGGATGCAGTTATTAGAATTTTCCGATATATTAAAAAGGCACCAGGAAGAGGTTTATTATATACAAATAAAGGGAGTTCAGCTATTGTATTAGCCAAACTCTTATATTCTGCCTCTTCTTAAGTGGGCAACAAAGTACTACTTCTTGGATCCACAGGAGATCATATTGGGATAGACAAAGGATCAAGAGGTTGATCTTCTATAATCAGTATCTGAGGCCCAATCTGCATAACAGAAGACTTATAGAGAAAGCTGCTGCCAGGATGGAGAAGCCATGATGAATTGTGATTTTGAGATACCTAACATTTTTACCACTATCCGATGCTCGTCATGGGGCTGCGACTGATATTGACATAGCCTTTTTGACACTATAGTTGACATACTTTTGATTTTAGGCCTTGTTAACGTAGCATATTTCAATGCACCTATAATGGAACAGGTTAACTGACTAACAGAACATAGGTGTTACTCGAGTGTTGTTCTAATAAACATTCACATTCACAGCAGCTTAAATAACAAGCTTATTAAATAGAAGTCCAATAATGCAGGTGGTATAATATTAAATGACTGAATCAATCAGCTTTTAAAAATAAAAAAAAGAAGGGGGGCAGAGTTTTCATCTCTAGAATATGACCTGCAAACAGATTAATTTGTGAAGATCAATCTCCAGATCCTTTCTTGCAGCGATATTGACAAAAATACTTGGCAAAATAAGCTCAGCAACTTCAGCTTTAAACAGCACAATATCTTGACACAATCTGGAAATCCAGGAAAATGATAGGGGGAAAAAGGAAGAGAAAACATGATAAAGGCTCACTATAACAGCTAATGACTTTTTAACGGTCAACATTAAAGTAGTTAGATAGGTCCCTAATACCTTAGCATCACGTCATTGCAGTGGACAATAAGTGAATAAACCAATGGACAAACCCACATCTCAAAAGATTTACCATCTGTAACCCACACAGTAGACTTCTCCAATGACATTGCTTCAACTGAAAAATAAAAGACAACCACATCAATTAGTCATCTGTCATACATTTTGCAGAGAAATAAAGAGAGAAAACTCACTGAATAAAGGTTACTTACTATTAAAGTACAGTAGTAATGTTAGGTTTTGTGAACGAAAATAATACGAGAGAAAATGTTGAGAGAGAGAGAACAGTGGTCTCTTAACTTGTGTGTTTCTAATCTGAATATTCTAAATCATAGAAGGTTCTGATACCCATGTTTGTGTGTGTGATCCAACTTCCTAACTGACTATGCTAGCTGGTAGTGGTAACTGATTAGTTGCTGAACTATCTAACAATCTAACTCGGAGTTACATGTATGCTTCTGATATATACTCTAATGTGTCCACCTCAAACTCAGTGGTTTGAGCAATGAAAAAGTGAAGGAAATTAGAATTAAAAATATTTCCGTTTTTATTTTCTATTAATTAGTGGATAGGACTAATGACTCATTGCTGAGTCATCCTTATCAACTCTTTCTTATTCTCTCTTGTATAAATGATAGTGTAAATCATTTGTATTAATACAGAAAAAATAATTCTTTTTATATTTCAATATGATATCAAGAGCGGGTTCGTTCCTACCCTAGATCAGCCACCCTCAAGGCTGAAACCAGTTCAAAAATCATCCAAACACAAACCAACCTCTACCAAATCCCAGAAACCATGCCTACAGACATCCAGTCGAGAAGGTGGAGTAACCATTCAACTCAGAAGGCTCCAACGAGTTGAATGCCACCGAACCCATTGTCGTCGGACGTCCCACGCACTGCCACACGCGCGGTAACTTTCGGGCGGGTGTAGCCCACGCGCCACCTTCCTGGAATTTTTTTCCGACACGACCTGCCCAGATTATCTCGTTGACTCCTTCTCTACCTATTCCAGTGGTCAGATCTAAAATCGGAGCAACTTGATTTTTTGGGTCCGCGGTCAAACCTTCTCTCTTTATTCATGGCTTCCTTAGATCGTTCTTCCGCTTCCTCATCTGCCCCAAATTTTTCATCCTCTGGAGACAACTTAGGTATGCAGATCACTAGTCATCTGTTGAACGGTAAGAATTTTCTGCAATGGTTTCAATCTGTTAAGTTGGTCATACGGGTAGAAGGTAAGATGGTTATCTCGAGGGAAAAATTAAGAAATTTGCTGAGGATGCTCCTGATTATGAAAATTGAGAGATTAATAAGTCCTTGGTAATGGTGTGGCTGACTAATTCCATGGAACCACAGATTGGCCAAACCTATTTGTTCTTTCGATACTGCCAAGAAGATTCGGGATGCTGTTCAACAAAATTATTCAGATCTGGAGAATACCTCTCAATTCTTTGAACTGAGAAATAAGTTGAGGGACTTTCGACAAAGGGGTATGACCATTACTGAATATTTTACTGCACTAACAAATTTGTGGCAGAAACTAGATCTTTATTATGCATCCGACCTTAAAGGAATGGAAGTTAATACCAGTTTAAAAAACACTTGGAGAAGGAACGACTTTATGATTTCCTTGCTGGCCTCAATTGAGATCTTGATGAGGTTCGTGGTCGAATATTGGGACAACGAACATTACCCTCACTTGTTGATGCCTTTGCTGAAATTCGGAGAGAAACTAGTAGACAGAGAGTTATGCTGGGAGAAAAGGAGTCAATTTATAAGTCTGAAGATATGTCTGCATTGGCTGCCAAACGTACCATTGATCGTTTCTCTAGAGAATCAAAACGAGATGGTCGTCCATGGTGCACCCACTAGGTATTTATTGATTGAGCTACCAGGTTTCTCTTTTACTCGAAAATGTCACTTGCAACCAATGGCTTGCCTATGAGGAGGCAAGGGAACCAATGACCAAGTACGATCGGCAATAAGAGCATTGTATTCTTCTTGCATAGAAAACTGCCATTTGGGGTGAACCAAGGCCTACTTGACAGTGGTAGGTTCCATGTGTGTCACTAGAAATATAGCCACAAGTTTGAGTTTGGAGATACTCAATTTTGACCTAGTTTGCATAGAATTTCTAGATAGGGAAATGTAAGTCGCACACATAAAGGCAAGGCAAGGGACAGACACAGGGATAGACATGGTAGGAGCACTAGATTCAAATAATGGGATAATGGAATTGCAAGGGAAGTCTGGTGAGGATGTTGCACTGGCAAAAATGAAAGAAGACTTATAAGGTGGATTGGGTAGAGTAGATATAGGAGGACTAGAACAAAACTGTTGAATAGGAATGAAACGAGAAACATATGATGTAATCCGCGTGACGAAGATACATGTTACTTGGCACATATAGGACGATTGGAGTGGTTGACAGAACTGATGAAGGTAGTCTCAGTCAGACGCTACTAGTTATTTGGCATCATTCCAGTTTCGAGACCTTCGTCTCACAAATTTGGCTTCAGCTTAGGCGTCTTGGTCACCTTCCTATTTTTTCCTATTGAAGCTATATTTCCATCATTATTTTCAATAGAGTCTATTGAGCATTTTCATTGTGATGCTTGTGAACTGGATAAACATCATCAGCTAAACATCAAAGCCTATTTCGACAGACTTGTAACTAACTCAAGGTTTAGATAAGATAGTTGTCTCCAACTTTTCTTAACCAACTCTATAAATAAAAGAACCAATAACAAAGTTAATTTGATGAATAATGAAAACACGAAGTTCATAGAACACACTGTTTCTCGCTGTACAACTTATCAGTTTCCTTTATTTTCCTTTACTTTCTCACCTAAATACAAAATCTAAAAGTTAAAGATGTACGGAAAGCAATATACCTTTTGACTTCCTATCCAGGTACAAAAGGAAACTTTCCACAAGTTCGATGTTAGTACCTTTAGAATGCACCTGCATTAGTACACACGAAAAATTATTACAACACAGAATAATTCCAAGACAAGACACTGCCACAATAAGATGATTTCATTTTTCACCAACTTTCAGTTTATAACTAAATAAAATCCAAGAAATGTGTGCCACTTGAATGCTAAAGCATGTCTTTTCCAGATTTATTGGCTATCAGTATTATATGGAAGTTTCTTTGGCACGCAATCATTTTGGAGCCCTACATTTTTGTATCCAAATTCATCCATAATATCGAAGATGGTTAGCTCAAAAGGGTAAAAGATGACCTAAGAAAATTTTAGGATAAACCATTTAAATAAAACTTACTCTAAGGCATCATTTAAATAAGCTTATTTGAGATTCTCTACTGCAATAACACTTATGAAGAATTTATGGTTATTAAATGAACATATAGAAGAGATTTTGAAGCTCAAATAAGTTGTTTTCAGCTTATTTTCACGCACTCAAACTAAAGTCTACGGAAGTAAGGTTGCCGAAAGCAGCTTCACCAGCTGCTTAAGCATTTCTTGAAGTGTTTATCCAAACTCTATTCACCTTATTTTGTAAAATCATTATGACAATAGAGCTTATTTAATGGGCCCAACTTAAATAAGCACATCCAAATAGGGTCTAAATGGACTTACAAAATTTAAGTTTTTGATAGAGCCCAATGACATGTATTTAATAAAATGTAGCCAAAGTTTTTAAAATTTAAGAACTTATAGGATGATGCTAGGGGAAATGTTTCATTTTCGGAAGTTTTTCCCCCGTTCCAGCTTTCTACTATCAATAATTCTCCCATCCAAAGTTTCTTTATAATTCATAATTCTAATCATTCATCGAATTTCCCTTTTTCTAGAAATTTGAACCATGAAGAAACTATTGAACATCGATCCCTCCACACCAACATCCAAAGAGTTGATCTTAGACATGTCAAAAATCAAAGCGTAAGGCATGTAAAACAAGCACCACGTATAAGTTATCCAATATGTTTAACAAGCCCTAATGAGTGTCAACCTGCAAAAACATCTTCAATTACTCTACTACAGCCTGTGCCTGAGCAATAAAACTAGTCATGTCATGATCTTGTTGACAAAAGGGGGCCAATTTCTAGGCTGAGTCATACAATCGTTGAATATAATTGGCAAATAGATTGCGAGCCTTATTCCAAAAAGTGACACATGTCTTGAAGGTTTTACAATTGATTAAAATAGTAGGTTTTACAGATTGCCATAATAAAGCACACACTTGATAATCAAACCTCTCCCATTGACTCCGTTCTTCTGAAGAAATATAAGAAGCTGACTTTTCAAGATGATCAAAGAGACCCTGACCGAGAAACAAAATCTCAACATAGGATGACCAGGCTAGATAATTCTTAACATTTAATTTTTCAAAAGTGATTGTGGGGGTACCGGAGATAGCATATGAAATTGATGGGTTACGAACTAGATTGTTGTTTCTAGACATGTGAGGACCTTCAATCTCGAAGGAGATACTTGAACTTTGGGCCATACCTAGGTTAAAGGAAGGCTGACACATGAAGAGAGCAACAAGAATGTGCCTTCAAAGTCAAAAACTATGAAAATCAAAGACCCACTACCAAATCGGGTAAAAACTGGTGGCGGGCACAAATATTTGTAGAGGAAGCTCCAGCAAGTCAGGCATAATAGAAAGTGAGATAATACAATGCTGGCATGGCGGCGTATGAGTTGCCCAAGCTGGAAACAACATTGTTTGGGAGAAGGGTGAGATCCACGTGCAAACTAAACGTGAAGCGCGTGACGGCTCGTGACTAAGTTTCTGGCGGCGGCAACATGATGGAAGTTGACCAGTCGGTTGGTTCTCGATAGGTTAGGACTGTTCTGACTTTTCAGAATGGCTTGAGAAAACAATCATAGCCCCAATCCATATACATAAGATTTACAGCCACTAATAAAAAAGGAAACAATGAAACTATAAAATAAAAACAAACCTAATCAAATCAAGCCAGTTCATAATCTTAAAATATGAGATCTATTTTCTAATATAGAAGATATTATTCAACAATTCTCTCATAACAAACAGATATTGTGTGTTGTATTAAAAGCAAGAATTCACATTGTAAAGAATAATTCATACTATATCCAAATATCCCATGCATTCCCATGTCCCAACTTGTGCACCAGCACAATCACATAGAAACTTTTGACCGATGCAAATCCAGAAATTCAAACATGAAAGTATCAGTAATAATAATAATAACAACAATTACAAAATACGTTTTTCTGCCTGGATTAAAATATTACCTCAACCAGAGATCTCTGATAAGAATCAAAAGACTGTAAAGCACTTTGGCCTCTTTCAGTTGAAAGTATTCCCTGTAAATCCACAGCAATTAATTATATGAAAATCAAGGAATGCAGTATTTGCATTTAAGTAATTGCAAGAAAGATGCAAACTCCAAAGCAGATGACTATTAAACAATTAATAGTGCATTTTTATAAGTACTATACATCAAGTAATTAACTTTCAGTTTCAAAACAATAAATTACAATAACAGAGAAGAAGTTATTCAAATAAGACACAAACAGTGAAAGCACTTCACAAATGATTTGCCAAAAGGCATACAGCAATATATAGAATCAACATATAATTTAATTTTACATTTAAGTACAAGAATAGAATAAGAAATTTTTTTAATTATTATTGATGATTTTTGTCAAAGGCCAATAGACAGTTGGATAAACTTACGCGAAGAGTTTGTGATGCCATATCAACAATTTTCACAGAATCATCCATCAGATATTTCGTTAGAAATTTTATAAGGACAACCAAAAGTTCTTCAGAGATGCATGTGTCTATGCTGGAACTGATTTCCACTGCAATACTGATATCAATAGATTTACCAACACGAATATGACTACTCTGGCCAGGAAGATGGAAAACAACAGAATATGGGTCCCCTGCACCAACCTGCAGCAGTGCAGCCATAATGAAGGTTCTTAAAAAGAAGAAATACCAACTTGATAAGGGAAAACCAAATGTCTAAAAGCAGTGGCGGATCCAATAGATGTCAGGAAGGGCACAGTTTAACATGAGATATTAATTACTTAAATTTGTTTAAATGATGATAATTTTAAATGTAAATTGCATTTAACATTTAATTGTAGCTCTTTGTCTAATAATTATGTAAGATAATTTGGAACTAAAAAAGGTAGAAGATAACTATCGTGCAAACAAAGAGTGATCCTAGAGTCAACACCATTAATTCAATAAATTACAATTAGGCTCTGCAAGCTTCAAGATAAATAATTGTCGGTTAAATCAATGGCCAGCTTAGTTGTGATGTTTTATGTATGTATGACTGCAAATAAGAAGTAGGAAACAAAGTTAAGATGTAAAGACAAAGGTAAAAATTAGGAGGTACCCGTATAGGATGACACAAGTGGTATAAGCATGTGTCTCCCCGGGAAAGGACCCAAGTTCAATCCTTGGGACAAAAATTCTATGGGGGGAGAGCTTTACCCATTGCGTTCCTGTCCGTAGGGGAATGGGATCCTAGAACAGGCCATGCTTACCCATGACATGTGACAGTGATCACCCAAAACCTTTTCATCGTAAAAATTTTACCAGAAAAATAATAATAAATTAAGGAGGGGCACAATAAAGTATAAAAGGCATAAACATGTTAAACTGAAGTGTGATGTCAAAGGGAAAAAGATAAGCTGAGGAGGAGAACATGAAACTCCATCCCACACCTGGCTCTGCCACAGTATGAAAGTTATAAAATCAAAAAGTAAAAAAATTAATACCCTAGAAATGAAATCTGAAACCAATTCTCTAACACCGCCTGCATCATTTGAGCCACACAAGTGAACAAGTGTCCAGACTGCATCCACGATTTCATGATCACCATGCCAATATCTCTCGTTTAAATGACCTTCTGCTATCTGTCTTCTTTGAAAGGTTTCTCCAATCAGTAATTTATTATGCAACCCCTGGAGACTGAGGAAAACCAGATTCAAGAATCAAGCACCACACAAATTCTAAAGCAGTTTCACATCCCAAAATCAAATTGCAATATTGCTCATCTAATAATTCATTATATTTAAATTTATGTCCATTAATTCTCTCTCTCCTACCCTAGATAAACTGATGCACATACAGTACACAGATATTTCTATGAAATCAATGCTTGGAATTCAATTATATTCAAATAATAAATAACATCAGGCTATCATCATAGAAAACTATGAAAGATAACAACGCAGGAAAAAAGAAAATCACCCTGATAAAAGTAACCTTGGCGGAAGAAAGCAAGACTTCTTTACAAACTGAAAATGAACAATATACCAGATAACAGGTTAAAAGAGAATTAGCTTGAAACTTAATTTTTTACACCCACAAAAATGCAAAGGAAAATCAAAATTATTTGCCTTCAATAAGTGGTCACGTATAGAGTAAGTGTGGCATAATTCTTCATGGAACATCTTTATCTCATCAAAGATTTTTAATTCAGGGAATGATTCCAATTCCTGCAAGAAGTAAATTCCATACATCAACAAAGCATAATCAGAGTGGATCCCTGATACAACAGATAAATGTTGAATTGAAGAAACTCACTTTGACATAACCATACATAGATGGATCAGAATCTACAGTTAACATACGGAGCAGAGATAAAACTTGTGATGTAGTGCTATCACACAAATTTTTGGTTTTAGAAGGAATGCAACACGCCACCAACTTTGAAACAAGAAACTGTACGGAACATAAACTAGTAAATACAGGTTTAAATAGGAAATCAGAGGAATTGAGAACATTGCAAAAGTGACAATATGTACCTGGAGCTGTTCCCCAAGCATACTGCTGATATCTGCGGATGTACTCTCTTTAAAAAGTAGCAACAATGCAGAAAGTATATGACAGCATTGTTCATGTAAAGCATGACATCCAATCAATGGCCCAATCAAGTTCAAAAGATAACTGCATTTACTCAACATTTATGCAAATTAGAAGAGAAATAAACAGATCAAAACTTCAAACTTATCAACTCTAAAAGGAGACATTTAAAATTTGATAATGACACGTGCAAAATGAGTCAAATGGATTGACTCGGGACCTTTGGCACAACAGGCAGGTTGACAAATAGCATTCAATCCACACTGAGTGTGTGTGTGTGTGTGTGTGTCTGATACAAGAAGAGAAATTTATTTTTTATTCTATTCTGATGAGAAATCAGACAATTAAATCACGGGATTTAACTCTAGTTTCTTTTCTTTTCTGTTAAGATCATTGGCATATATATCCAATCCATTCGTGTATCATCTGAATAATAAATAATTTTCATATTCTTCAATCTATGATGGTATCAGAGCAGTTCCGATCGGCGACCACCTCTATTTCCACTAAAGCCATCCGAACGCCTTCTCTCTGATTCGATTGGCTTTAATTGCCAACATTTATTTGCTACCAGGTCCCGCTGTTTTTCTGTAAAGAACCAATTCAACCCTAAAGCTTAAGTTATTGGATGAGGCTACATTAATGGTATTATATTTCTCTAACACGCCCCCTCACATGATAGCTCATTAGGTTTGACGGGTGGATAATGCATCAAGCTTAGCCGATCTGTGTTAAGAAACTCCACAATATTTAATTATTAGAATGAGGGGGGGCGAAGATCGAATCCGTGACATTGAGGCTCTGATATCATGTAAAGAGCCAATTCAACACAAAAGCTTAAGCTATTGAGTGAGGCTACATGAATTATTTTATATTTCTCTAACATTTTCCTTCCTCTCCTAAATCCATCGGCCTTCATTGTCGGTTCCTCACGTCTATCAACCTTCTTTACTGGATTTCATTGTTCACTATCACTCGACTTTCCCATCAAAGAGGATGTTTCCAGCACAGTCACCATTGATGGAAGATGCATGGTCGCAATAGCATTGAGAACTAACAGAACATCCAGTCCGCATATAGGCTGAATGGAAAAAAATTATCTGAAGGGGTCACAACTCGTTCGCACAATACTGAAAGGAAAGGGAAGCTGGGTCATCTCGTGGGTACTCGACCTTAAGTCAGGAATCCCATGTCTGAAGAATGGGATGAAGAAGACTCAATGACTATGGCGTGGTTGAGGAATTCTTAGATGATACTTAAAATCAACCACACATGTATATGTCTGAATACTGCTTAAGGATTTCTTGGATGCAGTTGAGTAAACCTATACCACGGCCAAAAATGCTATTCAAGAATATGAGGTTAAGGTGAAAACAGCTCCTACGAAATAGGGAAACAAGACTGTTACATAGTATGTCCACCAAAGTCCTTGTGGATAAAAAAAATGTCTTGCTGATGTAGCAGTGCTAAAGGACTTCATCGAGCAAGATAGACTCTATCATTTTCTTGTTGGGCTCAATCTGGAGTTAGTTCAAGTGAGGATACTTCTTAGGAGATCAAAGGTTCCATCCTTTAACGAAGTGTGTCCATAATCCAAAGTGAAGGAGGAAAAGATGTAATCTTTTGAAGGACAAAAACCCAACCAGTCAAAGAGTCAAAACTATGATGACTTGTGGTGCACTTACTGCAACAAGGCATGCCATACCCGTCAAGGTTGCTAGAAGCTTCATCGAAAGCCACCAAGTCGAGAATGAGAATAGAAAAGAGAACAACCACGCCAATGCAACTACAATGTCACTGTAAAGAACCTTGGGATACATCACCCCAAAAGCTAGCTCAAAGGGTGGGAGTGCCCAAGACCTTATAAACTCTACATTAGTTGCACATACAACCAATGTGGGACTATATATCTCAACACGCCCCCTCACACGAGAGCCCATTGGGCTTGAAGAGTGGACAATGCAACAGGCCCAGCCTACCTGTGCTAAGAAACGCCACAAGAGAAAGTGGGAGGCGGCGAGGCTCTGATACCATGTAAAGAACCAATTCAACCCAAAAGCTTAAGCTATTGGGGGAGGCTACATTAATGGTTTTATATATCTCAACAGTCACAAAGTGAATCAACACCACCAAAACCCAGCAGTGTCAATCAAGAGGAAATTAAGAGGGTGAGATCATTTATAACTTGAGAAACTCTCATGTGCTTGTTCTTTGACATATTCAGATAAGTTGTCATTCTAATTGGATTAAATGCCTCGGGTAGAACCTTTACCAACATTTGAATTATGGATATAAGAACACAGGACCACTTGACCAACACATCAAGTATTATATATTTATATATTTATATATATATAGATATAGATAGATATATATATATATATAGAGAGAGAGAGAGAGTTAAGAGATTAATTAAAGTTGAAAAGTGAAGAGATTAGGGGCGCTAAGAAGCAAGGTGGGTTGTACTATCTGGTGCCAAAATCTTCTGCAAAGCATGCTAAGGATCACACCTTATTGACTCAGTCTTAGTCTACTGCCGAGTCTTTGATTTGGCTCCATCATAAATGCTTGGGGCATCCTCCATTTCATTTGCTTAAGTCTTTATTTCCATCATTATTTTTGTTTTACGAGTGCTTTCATTGTGATGTTTGTGAGTTTGCTAAACACCATCGTGTCTCTTTTCCTTCTAGTACCATTAAAAGTGTTGAGCCTTTTGATCTTATTCATTCTGATATTTGGGGTCCTTCTAAAGTTCCTCATGCATCTGGTAATAAATGATTTGTTTCTTTCATTAATGATTGCACTCGTGTAACCTGGGTTTATTTAATGCATGAAAAATCTGATGTACCATAGTTATTCTTTCGATTTTATAAAATGATTGAGACCCAATTTGGTAAAAGAATTAAAAGACTAAGGACCAACAATGGCACCAAATATGCCAATCAGCGTCTTTCCAAATTCTTCCAAGATCAAGGCTGAGAGGAACAATTGTCATCTTCTTGAAGTTGCTCGTGTTAGAATATTAGATATGATATGATTAGATTTGATTAGATATGATTGGATTCTGTCTTATCCGTAAATAGTCTGACTGTATTCTGACTGTATTAGGATTAGGTTTGGATTAGGTTTGGGCCTTACACTTAAGCCCATTAGGATCTCTATATATTGTAACTCCCTGACACAGATCAATACACAACGTATTCTTTTACATTTAACTTGGTATCAGAGCTTTTTCGCTCTGGGGATCCGCTTCCACTAAAACCCTAAGCCCACTGCTTAGGTGTTCTCTTCTACTTTACCGTGCATTCTTCCGGCGAGTTTCTCTCTAAGCCGTGTGTCTCTCCGGCTTGTTTCTTCAACTGTCAGAACCACTTCCCGCCGCCAACAACCGCCGCTCGTCACTGTTCAGGCCACCGGAACCACTTCCGGCCGCCAACAACCGCCGCTCGTCACTGTTCCGGCCACCAGAGCACTGTTCCGGCGAGTTTTCAGCCCAGACTACCTGCGATCAGGACCGTCTCATCCCGGCGACCAGTTCTGTGGTGGTCCGACCACCGTCGCGTCATCAACGCGCCTCCACGCGCCGTTCTTCTCCTCTGCGCGTGGTGCTCACGCGCCACCTTCAACCGGCGCGTGTGCACTGTTCCGGTGGATTTTTCCGGCCGTTCTTGGACAGAACTTCTCGCCTTTTTCTCCTCTTTCTGGATCTGTGCTTGGTTCTTTGTGGGTCTCACTTTAGACGTGTGGTTCTCCTTGATTGGATATCGTTTGCCTTCGTTTACGGCTTTTATATTTTTCTAATTTCTTGGCCACACAAGGTACTTTACATCAAACTACTTGTCCTCACACTCCACAACAAAATGGGGTGGCTGAACGTAAAAACAGACATCTCATTGAAACTGCACGTACCCTTCTTCTTCATATGCAGGTTCCCCTTCACTTCTGGGCAGATGCTGTACTCATCTCTTGTTTTCTCATCAATCGCATGCCCTCATCTGTGCTCAACAATGACATTCCTCATAACCTATTGCTTCCAGATGTTCCTCTTTATCCTCTAACTCCACATGTCTTTGGTTGTACTTGTTTTGTTCATGATCTCACTCCTGGTAAGGATAAGTTAACATCCAAAGCCTTTCAGTGTATCTTTCTTGGTTATTCTCGTCTTCAAAAGGGTTATCGTTGTTATTCTCCCGATCTTAAGCGTTACTTAGTTTCCGCTGATGTCACTTTTCTTGATCAACAACCCTTTAATTCTATTCCATCTCAGTTGTCACAGGTTGATCATGTTCTTCCTGTCCCTTTTCTTGACTTGTCTTTGCCAGCTGCAGGTGCTTCTATTCCAAATGAGCAACCTATTGCTTCTATACCTGAGGACCGTCCACTTCTCACCTATCAGCGTCGCAAAACTATGCCTCCTGTCGACTCGACTCTTGCTGACTCATCGCCCACTGCTGTTGCTTCTTCCTCTCCGGATCCTTCACCAGAGGCTCTTCCCATTGCTCAAAGAAAAGGTACTCGTACTACTCATAACCCTTATCCTCTTTATACTTTTTTGAGCTATGACCGTCTTTCTTCACCTCATTTCACCTTTGTTTCTAGTCTTTCTTCTATTTCTATTCCTAAGACCACAGGTGAAGCACTTTCCCATCCAGGGTGGCGCCAAGCGATGCTTGATGAGATGACTGCACTTCATTCCAATGGCACTTGGGACCTTGTTTCTGCTCCTCCACAGAAGTCTACAGTTGGTTGTCGCTGGGTGTTTACTGTGAAAGTTGGACCTGATGGCCATGTTGATCGACTCAAGGCCCGCCTAGTTGCAAAGGGTTTTACTCAAATATTCGGCCTTGATTATAGCGATACATTCTCTCCGGTCGCTAAGATGGCGTCCGTCCGCCTATTTCTTGCCCTTGCTGCTGTTCGTCACTGGCCACTCCTTCAACTTGACATCAAAAATGCCTTTCTTCATGGTGATTTACAAGAAGAAGTTTACATGGAGCAACCACCTGGTTTTGTTGCTCAGGGGGAGCCTGGGAAGGTGTGTCGTCTTCGAAAATCCTTATATGGTCTCAAGCAGTCTCCTCGAG